TATATATATATATAATTATCTTGAAAGAAATAAAGAATTTATTCCAAATAAAATTTAAATTACTTTTCACACAATAATTTTAAGACTAATTTTATAAAAATTACAACCGCGTCATTTCATAATTATGAAGAGTGCCAAAAAGTCTTCAATCCCCACTAAAATATCAATTTTATGATAATTAAATTTTTTTTAAAAAAAAAAAGTGAACCACAAAGCATCAATCCAATCGTCATTACAAAAGCTACAACGTTACATTCACCGAAGTAGCTATCCTCGGCCTCTTAACCAAATCGTGGCCAAAGCTCTTAACAGAGATTAGCAGCCATGGAGAAGAAGACGAGGGTCTGCATCATCGGGGCCGGCATAAGCGGCCTGGCAGCGTGCAAATACTTGCTGGAGAGAGGATTCCGGCCGGTGGTCTTCGAGGCCGATCGGAGCATCGGCGGCTTATGGAAGAGCACGCCGGCGTCAACTCGGCTACAGTCGGCAAGATGGGATTACCAATTCTCCGACTTTCCATGGCCGGAGAAGGTGACGGAGGTTTGTCCTGATAGTAAGCAGGTGCTGGAGTATTTAGAATCCTATGCTGAACGATTTGATCTTATAAGACATGTGAGGTTTGGAGAGAAGGTGGAGGGGATAGAGTATGTTGGTGTAGCGGAGGAGGAGATGGAGGCGTGGGATCTGTGGGGTGGGACCGGCGACGCCTTTGGTGGCGAGCGGCGAGGGGTGTGGCATGTTACAGTGCGGCGAGAAGAAGACGGAGCTGTAGAGGTAATTAACATGAATCAAATGGAAAAATCTTTTGTCACCATATCTAAAACGGTTGATTTGCTTTGAGATTAGTGTAAGTGGATGAGTAATTAAATATTTTTACTGCACCAATTTTAAAGCAACCGATAAGATGTGGAGTTATCTTGACCAAAAGTTTCGTCAGGGATTTACATGGACCCAATTTTTTTTGAGATATTTTTATGTAATTTGAATTATAGTAGTTAAGATAAATTTTTATGAGTTATTAAAAAAATTTTAAATTATGATATTTTTAAAAATTATGATAATACAAAATTATTTCATTGGTCTTATTTTTTTATTTGTTTAAATATCTTCTAATTTTGAATATTTTGTCATATCATCTTGATATAAATTATATTAATATATTTTGATATTTCTAATTATTATAAAAATAATAATAAGTCATCAATAATTATGTAAGCTTCTTTGTTATGTAAATATAATTATATCTCAAAGGATGGTAAAAAAGCAATGGTCTCAATGATGATAATATTAAATTAATAAATTTATTAATATTTATCATATATATAAAACATTATAAAAAATAAATAAATAAATTTTTGATGATTATATTATAATCATGGAAATGACATGCAAATAAAAATAGGATAAAAAGAATTAAAGGCAAAACTTTACTCATTCATTTATTACATTCTTCTTTCAATTTCTATGTTTTAATTTAATATTCTTCTAGATTTTAAAAGAGGCAGTAAATTATACTTATTTTATTATAAATATATATATAGTATATATATATATATATATATATAATATAATATATTATTATTATATATAATTTTTTTTTTTTTTTTTTTTTTTTTTTTTTTTGAAATTATGCTTTTTTTAAATCAGGTGCAAATATAATGGATTTTGTAATTTCTGCATCGGGACGGTTCAGTTGGACTGCCAAATATACCAACGTTTCCAAAAAATAAAGGTTCGGATGTCTTTAACGGTAAGGTGATTCATTCTATGGATTACTCCAATATGAATAGCGCAGCTGTTGCTGAATTGGTGAAAGGAAAGCGAGTCATCATTGTGGGATATCTTAAATCGGCAGTGGACATAGCTGCTGAATGTGCTAATATTAATGGTAATTATTTGTCTATTTCTTTTATTCTTCTTTTTCTTCATAATATCATATGATTAGAATTTTTGGATTTTCATATTGCATATGCCATAGCATCCAAGGAAAAAAAACAAAAAAAGAGGGAAAATGATGACAAGAGAGATGCTTAGGAAAAGAGGGGTTAGGGAGGGAGAAACCCATAGGAAATATAAAAGAAAAAGAAACCTAACATACTTTTTTCAATAACTAAATTAAGTTTCCTTTGATGTCATGAGCCTTGTACTTAGAGAGAGAATAATATCAAGAACAATGGATTTGAAGAAAGCATGCTTGAAAATACACCATAAGAAAGGGCAAACTCACAAGATGGAATTTACTTGCTACAAAAGAGAAAGTGGGCATATGGAACCATAAACCTCACTCATCTTCATTCATTTTCACAACTACAAGTAAATTGTATGAGCAAATAACAAAAAAGAATCATAAAGGGTTTTAAAATTCAACTAATATAAGGATTCAATTAAGGGGCTGAAATGAGATAAGTAAAATAAACAAAAGAAAAAAAATCGTCATTCTAAGATCATGTTCACATCATGTTAATATTATATGCACTATGATTAAAATAGTATAATCTTGAAAATCTAAAGAACAATAATATCTCAATGCTTATCAACAGGACCAAAATATCCATGCACTATGATAGTTCGAACAAAAAGATGGAATGTATCCCAGATGACAGTATGGGGCATCCCCATAAGTTACATGTATTTAAATCGTTTCTCAGAATTGTTGGTACACAAGCCAGGAGAAGGACTCATATTAAGCCTCTTAGCCACAATCCTTTCCCCTTTGGTATACTTTTAACTCGTTGATTTTCTCACAAACATCTAACATATTTATCTCTTATGTATTTATGATTAAGTTTTAAAAAAAAAATTCTTTCAATTTTAGAGGTGGATCTTCTCAAAGTTTACAGAGAGCTACTTAAGGAAAACAATCCCGATGAAGAAGTATGATATGATTCCAAAGCATAGTTTCTTTCAAGGAGTAGCTGCTGGTTTGTTTTGTATATTACCAGAACACTTTTATGAAAAAGTAGAAGAAGGAAGCATCATCTTAAAACCTAGTAAGACTTTTGAATTCATTAAGAATGGTGTCCTCACCGAAGGTGATGCCACCCCAATAAATGCTGATGTAGTGATCTACGCTACTGGGTACAAGGGTGATCAAAAACTCAGAAATATGTTTATTTCTCCTTGGTTCCAAAAGATAGTGGTTGGCACAGAAGATACAATTGTTCCTCTCTACAGGTACTCTTAATTATCACCATTAGCTTCATCTCAACTATTTGAAGTCAACATTTGAGTATTCACTAATTATAACTTATATATCATAATACTTACATAATGAGCTAACTTTGATGTAGAGAGTGCATACATCCACAAATTCCACAAATGGCCATCATTGGTTATTCTGAGAACCTATCAAACCTCTACACTTCTGAGATGAGAGCGAGGTGGTTAGCTTGTTTCCTTGACAATGGCTTCATATTGCCAAACAAAAGAGACATGGAGAAGAATATACTCGAGTGGGACAATTACTATAAGACATATTCTGGCAATTCAAGTGAGTGCTATCGTAGGTCTTGCATCGCCCCAGTTCACACTTGGTATAATGATCAATTGTGCAAAGATATGAGATGCAATCCTAGAAGGAAGAAGGGGTTTTTTGCAGACCTGTTCCTTCCATATGGTCCTATAGATTATGTTGGGCTCGAGTTGAAAAAATAATAGATATGACCCTAAGTATTATGTTAAACTTGATTTGAAAAATAATAATAATAATGGCATCAAGTTGATGAATAGATAGATGATTGTTAATATCATATAATATTGTGATATATATTATATATCTTGCAAGCTAATGTTTGTTCATGTAATTGTTAATAATTTTATCACTTTGATTATCAATTTGATGATCCAGTCAATTGATGAAAAAGAATTAACTGATTTCTCTTCTTTTTGTTGATTTTTTTCTCATATAAAAGATTGTGAACCTTAGTCACACTGATTCAAACAAGAAAAATCTTCAAAAAAGCATACTATAATTGGAAAATGTGAGGCCTTAAGATAATAAAAGAAAATAATAAGTTCTGCCTCTTATAATAAACTTCCTTACATAGTATTCTAGATCTTATTGCCTAAATGATATCATAGGGAGAAATATTTAATAAAATGATATCAAATTCATGAAATAAGGTAAATTAAATACATTAAAATTTAAATTAATAAAATAAGTTATTGAAAATTTTAATTTGTAGGTATTAGATCTAATGTGTTACATTATTTTAAATGACCCTATCATTTTGCATTTAATTTCTTAAAATTTTCAATTAATTAAATGCCTTTATGGATTTAAACATATCATTATTTTATTACTAATTTAAAATCTACATACCTCATAATCACATCATCAAAAAGCTTGTTTTTTTATGAATATCCACATACAAGTTATTCAAATTATATAAGCAATAAAATGATAAAATTCTAATATGAATCATAAGGAATACTAATAACATCTTGTACAAACTCCTAGGAAATTGAAATACCAAGAAAATTTGTAAGTAATTTATTAACTGAAATTTATGTTTGTTTTCATTGTGTTAAATTCCGATAAAAATGTGTGTTTTAGTTGATGTTTTACAAGAATATTTCAGGAAAAATGAGCATAAATTACAAAGTTAAATAGGGCTGTCAAAATCGGGTCACTGGTTGGGTTCGGGTCCAACCCGAAATTAACCCGACACTATTTGACCCAACCCGTTTTTGCAAACGGGTCAGTTTTTCGAACCCAAACCCAACCCGCTTCGGGTTTGGGTCAACCCGAACCCGATCCATTTTGTGTATGTTTTATTAACATTTTTTTATTTAATTTGATTTATTTCAATCTAAATCAAATTAAGATAAGATTTACTTCAATCAATTTAAAATAAATAAAGCTTAATTTAATTTGGGCAACAATGTTTATTATTTTTTAAAAATATCATTTATTTCTTTCATAACAATCTTTTGAAATTCTCCTAAATTAATTAAAAACGGGTCAGACCGGGTTGATTTCGGATTTTCGGGTCAACCTTAACCCGACTCGATTTTAAAATGGGTTGAAATCCCTAACCTGCATCTGAGGGTTGACCCGAACCGAAATTTTTGAGTCGGGTTGGGGTCAGGTTTTCAGGCGGGTCAAATATTAATACCCCTAATTAAGAACCAATGTCGTCGTGCCAGAACTATCAGCGCCATAGCATCTCCAACACCCTAGCGCCAAATCAGGGCATTGTAGTGCTGGAGCCTCTGGAAAATTTCATTTAATTCAGTGCCCCAGTAGAACAAAAGTCATCGTCGTAGTGCTACTCAGTGATGTAGTTCCATAAATGAAAATTGCAATATCGGGAAAAATTATAAATTATTCAACGTAAAGCACCAACCTCGAAAGCGTTGTAGTGCTCATCTTTTTTAGCATTGTGGCAGAGCAATTAGAGAAAAGAAATGGTACACTGAATCAGTTAACATTCGTGTTAGGTCATCCCAGCATCGCAGTGGTGCATATTTGGCAGCACTACAATAGAGCATATTTAGTAGCGCTAAGGCGTTAGTTCATATTTAAATGTCTTCGCATCACCTTGTCAAGCGTCGCGACACCTAAATCTTTTTTTTGTCAAGCGTCGCGACGCCTAAATCTTTTTTTTTTTTTAAGAGGAATCAGAGGATAATGAGTGACACATAATGAACTAGTTGGTCATCCTTGTAGATGGGAAAACCACACTTAGGACAGGATATGAGTGTGAAGAGTGAAGCTGTAGGATCTGCTTAGGATTCTTCATTTCTGGTAATTTTTTTTTCATCTTTCCATTTGTGCTTCTTTCTTAAGTAATGAAAAATATTTTGTTAAATTTTATTTCTATGGCCGGCTAAAATCTAGTATTAAACTAATAATATGAAAATCTATGTTTATATATCCAAATGCAGAATCTTATGAATAAATGTGAATTATTATTTTCAATATCTCCTGTGTTTAATTTAATTTCATTTGTGCAATGTTGTATACATTTAAAATCTAGTGTGATACATTGTCTTGACGGACTGACGGTGGAATATTGAAACAAAATATAAGGAATGCTTTCATATATGAACAAAGAATAATTAGAATTCTAGGATCTATGAAGATATAATAATTATAGAGATGCACTAAAAAAGTGAGATTTTTAATGAAATTATTGGCAATGCTAAAGTGGGCGGAAATTAGGCTTCGTTTGGGGCACTTTCTGAATGCTTTCTAAAGCAGTTTTCTACTACAAAAATTTAATGACAAAGTTTTCATGAACTAGAAATTTTTGTACTATAAAAATATTTTTGAAAATAGTAAGAAAATTATCTCAAATAAATCCTTACAAAAGGCCATCAAAGTTTACCGGAAAATTTCCGATGGAACCTGTACAATAAATTACTCTAATTATTTTTTATGAAAATTACACCAAAATTTGGTAGAAATGTTAAAATGTTTCTTGGGCCCTCTCATTCTTCCTCTCTTTTGCAACTCCACAGTTCTTAAAATTATTGCATCCGGTCACCGGATGCGGAGATAGGTCCGGATATTAATAAAATGTTATTTTAAATTAAGCGCAACTAAAGCTCAAGTAAAGCGCAACTAAAGCGCATGTAAAGTGCAGGTAAAGCGCAAGTAAAGCGCATGTCAAAGCGCAATCAAAAGCGCAGGTAAAGTGCAGTCAAAGTGCAACTAAAGCGCAGTCAAAAGCGCAGGTGACGTGGCAAATTTTTATTGGATGTCCGAACCTAGATATTCTCCGCATCCGGTGACCGGATGCAATAATTTGCCATTGTTTGTTTTGGAAAATTTTTTGTAAGATTTTTTCAATTCTTATATGGATCAAAATCTAAAATTTGTCCTCTATCCTATTTTTCAATTAATTTAAAATTTCATTAGTTAGTTTATGCGATTTAGGCTTCTTATAAAATCTGGTGTTTAAATTTGTTTTGAAAAAATGTATTAGATCCATATAGCTATTTATATTATACACATATTTTTGAGAAATCATTATATTTTATGTTAGATTTACGTAATCTTTAATTGGTTTACAAATATTTTCATATGCCCGACCTAAGTAAAAATTTATATAATTTTTTTTGTTTATTATAATTATATTTTTGTTGGTTTTTAATAGTACAATATATATATATATATATATATATATATATATATTGTGTTCAAAGTCAAAGATTGTTAATGTATAATAGACTTTTACTAGGCTGTAAAGAATTAATAGATGAATTTATTAAGAGTGCTAAATATTTTGTGCTTGTAGCTTCCTAAGAGCATCTCCAACCGAAACTCTCATTTTTCACTCCAAAATGTCATGAAACTACAAAATGTCACAATTCACCACCAATGGAACTCCACTTTTTACACATTTGCAGGTAACGGTCGTCTCTTTCTCCCGCGGCAAGTTCGGTAGAGAGGTAAAAATGGAGTAGATGAACAGTGCAACACCAATATTGGCGTCCCACTGTTCACTCGCAGATAAATAGCGGGAAATTTGTGGTTCCGCTGGAGCTGGCCAGGGACGTCATTCAAACGCTTGGAGTTCGGTTGGAGATGCCCTAATAACCAACATTTTTATACGAAGAAAAGCTAGAAGTTCATGCTTCAAATACAGAAATCAAGTATAAGTTATACCGTATGAGGTTAGCTTGATTTATATCATGAGAATTACAACTAAATTATTGATTATAGGCATTCAAAGGTGAGTATGAGTCATATATATGCTCTTATTGCAATACTCTTGCAAGCTGCACACTAATAAATGATAAACATACTAGGATATGTAAATAAATGATCTTTGATTCATCTGACCATCAATTATTTATAGAACATATAGAAGAACATCCCAATATAGAGCTTATATTTTTTATGAATTATTACATAAAACTGAATAACTACTTTCATGTGGTTACACAAGTCATTTTGAGATACCAGTTGTATAGGGGCGGATCCATGTCCAACCCATGATGGGCAATTGTCCGCCCTTAAAATTAAAATTTTATTTACTAAATTAAGTCATTTAGATAATCTTGTTGGAGGGAGAAAAGCTATTACGCAAATGATAAACTTAGCGGATAGAATAAAACTTTTTTGGGTGCCAAGGAAAATTGATAAAAGCTTTCAACATATATTTTTCAAAAATAAATACAATAATACAAGATCAAATGGATAACTCGGCTGATGATTCTTCAACTTCTCTCTCTCTTTCTTTTTCTCTTTTTTTTTTCTTTTCAACCTCTTCGTCTTACATCATCCTCTCTTTACCTCCTTTTATAGTCATGCCCAAACACTAATATAAGATTTCTAAAGAAATCTATTACATTAACTCCTCTTGGAAAAGAATACTCACATTAATTATTCTTGGAATATGAAAGAACACTCGTTAATTATTCTTAGATTATGAAAGATCATTTTGACTTCTATAGGTTTCTTGAAGCTTCCATCTTATTGAACTTTCCATGACCGAAATTCCTCCATAGCCTTATCATCCTCAAATGCCGCAAATGATGCCATATCACAACTTTGACAAGTAATACCAATGCACTTCATAAACCTGAAATAAAATATAATATAAACTATAGGTTCTCAAAACCATAGCCGTCCCCACATCCTGTCTTCTCTTATTTTTCTTTGATTGCTAGTAACATTTACTCTATTCTCTTCACATTTGTAGACTTAGATGTGCTATATTCATGCTTTCATTATAAAATGATATGTTGAGGATGTTAATGCTGATTATTTATTACCACAACGATTAAAACATGACCT